ATTTTACAGCAGCCTCTCATTTATGTCAATAATAGAATGTTCACTTTGTCTGGTTTTGTTGCAGTCTGCCCCATATATCCAATAACCGTGATATACAGTAAGGAAATCACAGACAGCAAAAGCTATTGCTAGTGATGCAACTGTGCAGATATTGATGTTAAAAATAACACTAATAAAAGACTGACCAAGTGTATATCCAATAACTGTGATATATGGTGAGGAAATCACAGACAGCAAAGTTGGTTCTGCTGTTGCCAGTGATAATGATGTGCTGGGCATTAACAACTGTAGAAAGATTGGTTTAAGTTAAAATTGGGTGGACAGATTGAAAGAACATGAGGAAATGAAATGGTGACATAATGTACTACTTACAACTTGCAGCACAGTCACAACCTGGTCACCCAAATCCAAGTCATGTATGACACATTGCATCATGACCTCTTTGTATTTCAGGGCATGGTAGACTAAGGAGAGACCAAATTATAAAATGATTACTATTGTAAATTTAATCAGTTGGAAAAAAATTCAGCGATTTTAGAGCAAAGCATTAACCTCTACCATTTGGTTTTTGTTACTTAAAAAATTGTCCTATAGATAACCAGTTATCGTTAAAATAACTTTTTTACAAAGGCCTCGCTTGTGGAATTTGGATAAAACTATAGTGCTTAATCCGCCTTGAAGAATATCAACCTTGCGGTAATAGTAAGAAGGCCTTTCCATAACCATCCAATTAAAAAATCTTTCTCACGTGATATTAGTTATGTATCACTGGATGATGCGGGTATTACGGTAATGGTATGCTCATGAGAATTTTTCTGATATGGTCGGTAATCGTATACTACTGTATTCTGAACAAGGTATACTATATCTAAGAAGTAATTGAAAACATAGAAAGCTCCACCAAGTTCTTCATTAATCAATTCTTAACGCAACAATTACTATGCAATATTTTATATTTGATCCTTTTCATATCTTTACTGTCTTAATGTTCAATACCAAAGCCAATACTTTGCGCTTTCTAGGGAGTATAGAAAGTACGTGGAAAAGAGGATGTTAATGTGGGAACACAAATTATGGCGTAATAATACCGTGTCACGCAGATATACGCGCGTTATTAATCTTATTCTTTGTTGTCCGTATGACGATAAAGCAAACAAAATAATATTGTTATCCGATTTACTGCATTTTATTGCTTGGCTAGATATAAGATAGCCAGATCCGTTACCGGAACAATACAGGTAGATGAAGGCTAAGCAACCTTCGTAGTGTTTTTAAGCAACAATTGTTTTAATATTCGAGTTAGAGTAACAAATATCAATCGTATTTAAACCCGCGTGTGCTCAATAAAACTTAAAACTCAATGTATTTAATAATCATGTTAGTAGTGGTTAAAGTTTTAATTTTTGTTTGGATATCCAGCAGTGGGCTATTCCACTTTGAATGCAAAAGGCTACTTGGATCGAAAGCGTGTCTTTGTCTATTCGACATGTTTCGGCTTGAATTATTTTTATTTCAACCTGCATATCTCAACAAGTTTGAAATCAGGCCATGCAGAAATCGCTTCACATGAACTATACAGAACTATACATACTGTTCTTTGTAATTCGGCAGCTATTGCCAAATTGTCCAGAATTTATGATTATATTCTACTCAAGTAAACTCGTTTGTAACAACATGGAGTATATCTTTATGTAAAATATTAGGATTTTTTACAAGTAATAACAAAAATTTTGACAACATTTTAATAAGACAGCTCATTAAATTGCTAAAAAAATACATATTAATATATTTGTAAATTTTATCAAATTCTGTCATACTTTTATATTAGAAAAGAAAAATTCCGGTTTTTTTTTTTTGATACACTGTATTATGTATTAGTATGTCTAATATATTTTTAATTATAATTGAAATTAAGTATGAGTGTGCCGAATACCGATTCATCCAAGTAATCCGCTAGGATATCGCAGATGTATTCTCTCCGCCTATGTTGAGTTTTTAACCCCATTGAGTGAGAGTAACCTGACCAACACTTAGCGATTGTTCGCTGGTCAAACGCACAGCCATTCAAATATAGATGAACATCACCCCCTCACAGAACGAATATTATAATAATAAGCAAACAGAAAACTGTTCGTTTATCCCATCTCCTTATCAAGTAGAAAGTAAGGAAAATCTATACAATCAACCAGTATTAACAACCAGCAATCAAAAACCAGTAATCAATCACCAGTAATAGTCGAGCTTTCTATGTACATAGTGAAACTCGATAACGACTAGTTGGGCATGGTTATCCGACTTATCAAGGAATGCCGACTTATCGAAAAGATTTTAATATGAAAAAAAGAAAAGGGCAGAGATTTTGTCCGACTTATTGAGTTTCCAACTTATCGAATGTCCGACTTATCGAGTGTCCGACTTATCGAGTGTCCAAGTCCGACTTATCGAGTTTCACTATAGCAATCAAAAGAGTTCTTGATGAGAAAGTAAGAATAGCCCAATAAATCCCAAATATGAATATAAGTCTCAGCCAGGTAAATTCTACATTCCAAAACCACCCATCAGAACCAACTCGCAAAGCTACGTTCATAACAATTAACTCAACATCATCGACTCCCTGTCACACTCTGCTCACTTGCTCAATCCTCCTATATTCACTCTTACCGTTATCTTCCTCATCTAACTCGCTCTCACTACTCGATTCTCTCCCATTACTTCCTTCATACTCTATCTGATGTGGTAACGAATCTACTCGTATGGTCTTTCTGCCAAATCTACAGGGGGGTATCAAAAGTATTGCACGCTTTTATTTTAGCAACAAAAAAAATTTTTATTAAGACAACAGTTAATTTTATTTTATATTCGGAATTAGTACTTTAGTATTTGCACCAAGTCACGATATACTTTTTTCCAAATATCTTTCACTACCTTTTCGAGTTCACCAACACTTGAAGGCTGAGGATTGTGTTTTCGAATTTCTAGTTCAACCGCAGCCCACAAGTTCTCAATTGGGTTGAGATCGGGACTTTGGGCAGGCCATTGGAGCACCTCTATATTTT